TAAGGGGATCCCTAGATATGCTCTTGACATCTAGAAGGGTTTCGTTTTCCAATTTCTGATGCCGTTTCGCATGGTAGATCAAATAGAAATCGCTTGGGTTTGACCTCGTGTGTTAGATAAATATAATTACACTGAAGAGTACGGTATCAGTGTGGAACTTTTCTTACAGTAAGAATTAATAGCCTGGATTCAGAAAATTTGAAAATGAGTTTTTGTCTGAAAGTAGTTCGAAACAGCAACCCCCGAAGCTGCATGATTGGGGCACTCTAAAAGAATTCGTCATTCAATCTCATGCACGAAAAAAAACTAAGATTTCACTTGACATTATTTCTTGCAGCAGTATCAGCTTTTCTATATATAATTAAGATTGAGAAAGATAATATATAGAATTATTTCGAATTTTTGTGCACACCCAAAAAATGATTGGCGAAAATCGAAAGACACAAAAATCTCGAATTTCTTGGGAATATGAGAGGCATGTATGGCCAATCATATCATATTCCCATCGATCAATCAGAAATTGGACTTGACAAATATTTGCGCTCACGAGTCGTTCCTTTTCAGTTATTTTTTTTGGGGTGTCAGGTGTGAATAAAAATAATGGTACATTGAACGTTTTCGGAATCTAATCCAATTATACTGATAGCCAATTCAATTAATCAGAATTTGTGCTTGCCGGGGGCCGGGTCGTGTCTGCCGCGATCTAGAACTAGATTGATTTAATCCGATGATTCATTGATTACACCGAATTAAAAGTTTTTAAGGGTTTATTTTACCAGGACTACGATGATATTAATTGGATTTGAGTGAATAGACCATTCGCCATTTCTTCGATCTCCTAACTAGGGGAAACATTAGTTAACTATAGAATATTAAAGAAGAATGCATTTGATTTCAGGCAAAACAGCAAAAGAAGCAAAAAAATGCGAAAAAAACCTTGATGAATTCTCGACGGCTTTTTCTTTTTCGCTACGCTCCGTGCTCTGCCGTTAGAAAAAAAAACGGCGGAAGTATGAAAAAAAGTTGCGTGCCAATGCATATAATATAGTGTTTCGTCATGGCAAAAAAATGGAACTTGAAGAGAAGAAATTTATACATGTTGCTGGAATAATAGGGAGGCATTTTTTTTTTGGGGGGGGGGTGACTAGACGAATTGAAATCCTATATGGGTGTGCAAATAAGAAGTGTGACTCTCATATGGGTGAATTCGGAGAGAGGGGTTGGGGGGGGGGACATAACAGTTTATTGCCGGATTTATGGTTATTGTTACGATAATGTGGGAAGGGAACCAACAAGATTCATGATGTAATGTAAATAAACCCAACCATATAATCTACATAATCTACATATTTCCCACCAAAAATTGGTAGGATTTCATGGAATTGAAGGTATCGAAGAATTCCTAAAATATCGCTCTGTGGCATGTAAAAAAAAACAATTTTTTGACTGGAAAATATTTGCGAAAAAAATCAATCATTTTGACATTGGAAAATAAAAATCTCGACGGCTTTGCATATGATTAAACAGAAGAGCCGGAGGGCACAAAAAACATGTAGTATAATTTGGTGTCACTACCGTACTCATCATTCATTCCACCTGCTTAACCAAAATGAATGCTGAAGCTGTACTATTTCGATATACCACGCGCAATGATTAAATTTGACGGCTGGGCACCGGCGGACGGCGCCAACACCAAAACAATTTTTATTTTAATCAAGCGCCGTTGACGGGGGGGGGTTGGCTCTGACTAATTTCAGATAGAGGCGAGAGGAAATAAAAAAATGGATGGATGGAGGGAAACAGAATACGAATGTTTCGCTTTTTTTTTCAGAGACACAAAAAAAAACTAACTGCCTACCAAATATTTGTTGTCGGTCGGCACACAGTCAGCCATTTTATTGTTTCAAAGAGTAGCGGCGGCGCCGGCCGACCAAATGAAAAATTGTGGTAGACGGAGGGGGGGGATGAATTGGAAAATTTTTTTTTTGAAGCGTTGAAAGTCTCGAAACGCGACACAAGATGAAATTTTCCGCGAGATGTCGCCTATTTCGATTGTATCGGGGGTAGGGGGGGGGGGGCGGAAAAAAGCCGAACGAACAAGAATTTTGCATCGGAACGCGGCCAGCCTAGTTTTCGTGTTCAACGCTTATTCTCGAGATTCAGCCACGCGACAAAACGGCGTCTTTTAAGATGGCGACGAGAATGATGGGCGCGAGTCGAAGGGAAGTTTTTGTGCAAAAATATAGTTCACGTCGGGCGTACGGCCTCGTTCTCGTTCACCCCACATTGTGCAAATTTGCACAGGCGAACGTTTTTAGCGGCGGCGACGAGTTTGAACAGCTAGGCGAATCGAAAAAAAAAAATGATAAGACGGAAATTTTCAATGCGTATATGCTTTAAAAAATACAACCAAAGGCTTGATTGGAATTTTCGAAAAATTTGAACATACTTTGATTGACTCTCTCTCTCTCTTTCTATTTGAAAAAATCCTAATTTTCAAGATTAACGATAATGTAAAGGATGGAGATTTACGGCAAAACGACAAATCGGCCCGCTTGGTTTATTGTTGTGAAACACTCGTAAGTCTACACAATATCAAGTGCGTCAAAGGGTTTTCAAGAAATTCACCGAAAAGATTAAAGACGACGTTTTTGCGTAACTACAGTAATCCAACATTATACTTTCATGAACATGAAACCTGAATTATACATATGCTAGCCGGCCTATTTTATGTACATATGCATTTCGTCTATCCGAGAAAAAAAAATGTTCCTTTTTTTATTCATTTTCTTTTTGAAACCATTTCCATGGTGCTGAAATATATTCTGAAGGCGTTTGCATTTTTAAGCACCGTATGTCTGCCACAAATGTTCAATAAATGAATTGTGTGTTGTACGACCGTTGTGTGAGTGGGTGTGTGTGTGTGCGTGCGGTGCCTCATTCGCTCAATGTTGTCAAAGGTCGCTGCCGACACATCCAAAATACCATCGAGGCAAACACGGCACAGCACAGTCAGGTCGGAATGGCCAAGCCGCCGAAACGAATCGAGAGTGTGTTCCGCTGGCGTCGTCAACGTCTGCAACACAAACGCACACAAGGGAGGAAAGGTCGCCAAAAAAAAACGATTGGCATGGGCCGTGACAAACAGTCGACATTTTTTTTTTGAAGGGCCGCAAAGGATTACGGGGTGTTCACTTTCGCCTTACACAATATGTGTTTTTACGATGTCATGCAGAGAACATGAACATGTAACATTTGAGGGGTCCCAAACGTTGAGGGGGTTTTGGTTGGAAATGTTTGTTCAATCTTAAATTGCCCGGCGGACGATTGAGATCGTTAAGTTGAAATCAAGTTTTAACTCGACGAGAACCGGATAACAGCATTTAATGTTTTTTTTTATTTTCTTTAAAAATCGTTTGATACCAGTTTTATTGTCATGAAAAGAAGCATCAAAAAATTGATTGGAAATTTCGATCAAAAGCACATGGGGAGAATTTGAAAAGTTCTGACAGAAATTTGAATACGGACCGCTTCTTTTTTTAGAAAATCTGCGATAAAAAAATTGAAATTAACAATTTTCATTTCAAATTCATTATTTTAGCCATTTGTAATCTCGATTCAAATTAGTCAGCATTTTTTTATTCAGATCGATTACGATCTACAGTAACCTCCTCCTTTCCCTTCAAATACCATACGCATACCAAATATGGTGTAAAGCGTAACCTTGAAATCTAAAAAAAATGTATATACTAATTTGTTGGAGGCATTTGAAAAGTTCAAGTGGTTCAAATCACCGAATTGTTGATTTGCACTTTAAACTTAATATAATAACCAATATTTTCTGAAAATTTATCTGAAAAAAAAAACTCAAAAATAAATGTTATACGAAGGGATGTGAGTCACGTTTTGTTTTGTTGGTTTTCGCCGTCGATTTTTTTTTGTTTCAAAACGTGCAGATTGAAACGAGGAAGGATTCGGTCAAAAGTGTGCTGTGGACATTTGCCGGGAATTAAATGATGTCTAGGAATGTGCTCTAAGTGCAATGCCAAAAAAACCATATCACATCGGTATTTTCTGAAATTCTTCTATTCTCTAATTTTCTGATCACGAAGAAGGTATTTTTAAGACCGAACACTCAGAGGAAAAATTCCGGCGACCCTGAATTTTATGCGCTGCCACACTTCACCTTGAAACCGTCGAACATTGTTCAACTTACCATTAAACGAGAATAACTTAATTTTCAGGGAAGCAGATGAAAATCAAAGGGGATGGGAGTGGGCTTAAAAATGAACCGCAAACATCATCTGAATCCGAATTTTTGAATTTTAAGTGAGCATGACGTGTTGAATAGAATTCAGAAGAATAAGGATTTTTGGATTAGACTACTGATCATATAAATAGCTTAAAATGCTGCTTCCATTTATTTATGTATATATATATTAAGTAACTGAACTTGGTCAATTAGCATAAGAAATAATTTTCTGAGAATGTCTCATAATATTATTTTTGAATATAGAAAGGAATAATTGAATGATTAAACAATTCGGATTCTAGAGAACCGTTTTTTTTTAGTTTTGAAATTTCTACCATAAACGGTAATGTTAATTGACAAAAGAGTTGGCCGAATGTTTGTGGCTAATCGTGTCTATGTTAGTGAATGAGACTAATGTGTAAAAACATGCATTTTCCAAAAAAGCGGTTTATTAGGACACCATTCAACTATACATGTCAAATCCATCATGAATCTACAAATCAATATGCATCGGAGGGGGGGGGGAGGAAGGGGGAGAGGGGGGAAACGGGAGGAGCGATGTTTATCAGTTGGTTTCAATATTAATTTAATTTGACAATGAGATCACAGATTATAAATCTGATAACGACGTGTTGATGGATGAATTCATGGATTTGTGCTTAAATTTGGAAAGGAGAAGGGTGTACATGAAGATGTAGAACTGATTTCGTTGAACGGAGGACATCACCCGTATGGGGTTGGGAGATTCTTAATAGTAGTAGCAGCATTTCTTTTCAGTTTCCTCCGAAACCAGATCGACAACCGCGCTGCATTCATATTGTTCGCCTAATTGGGCAGCCAACAAGCGTCTGCAACAATGTTGGTCTGGAAAAACAACAGCCATGAGCGAATACCTCGCAATCTCAGTGAATGCTCGATCAACGTTATGACCAGTTTTGGCGCTCGTCTCGATGTATGGAATGCCATAAGCCTGGAAAACAAGAAACAAATTAGGGAAGAAAGAATGTGAAGCAGTAATTTTCCAGAAAAATTTTCTGATTGATATTCACCAAATTCCACGCATTTGGTTTTAGAAATTATTTATAATTGCCCTCAATTTTAAAAATAATGTGGTTTGATTCGTTTCCGGCGTGCCGCCTTTGTCATATATCGTAATCCGATTATATTGGACCTGACTTGCAGAAAATATAAAACTAAACTAAATTCCAAATATCGCCTTTTTTGAAATGTATATCTTTGTTTTGTTTTGCCAATTGTTTGAAAAATAGCTGGTGGGGTATACTCTGTTATGTTCCCAATTTCCTTTTTGTTATCTATCTAAGCCCACCCTCCCCCCCAAAAAAATTGTGTACACATTGTAAACCACCATAAAAAAAACCTGATTGCCAACCGAAAAATTCATTTCATTGCTCTTTTTTTCTTCACATTGAACACTAGCCATATTTTATTCACGATCGCAATTCTAATTCATATTTCTTCTTATTTTGTGTTGATGGTCCCAAAGTGCGGCCATAAAATTGAAAATTATGGTACCAAGCTAATTAAAATGGGAAAGTGTTTGATAAAAAAAAAAACTAGCCAAAGAAAACTGATGCCTAATTCTACCTTATAGCAATCCATTATTCTGCATTATTTTCGACTAGCAAAGCACACAAAAAAGGGAAACGGCTCAAATTTCAGACAATCCTGATGATGTCACCCCATATTCAATCTCCAGCTTGGTTACGTGTGGCCTCATCCATTGTTAGCTCCAAAAAAATGGAGACGCGTGAATTATTGAGCAACCCTATATCGTTCGTCAATCACGATTTTGAGAATCGCATTTGGAACGTTGACAATTGGAAAAAGCATAGAAAGAGGAGGGGAGCCGAACCTTGGCCAACGATCGTCCTTCCTCAGATTTCACTTTTCGCGAGCTTCCCAAATCGCATTTGTTTGCCACTAGTGTCACTTTGACACTCTCCTTACCGTACTCCTTGATCTGAGCGAGCCAGCTCTGAATGCGAAATTTCGTTAGTGAAGGTTTCCATTTGGAAATGCACGTACCCGGATGTTCTCAAAACTCGTGCGATTTCCAATATCGTAGACGAGAAGTAGCGCATCGGCGTCGCGATAATACGCCGCTGTCACCGAACGGAATCGCTCCTGGCCAGCAGTATCCCAAATCTGAAAATCATTCGTTAAATGCATAAATTACCGGTGAACACACTTGAAGCTTCACTTTCTTATCATCCAAATCAATGACTTTATTCTGAAAATACTTTTTTTGCGGGTTAAATAAAATTGCAGATTACTCTGTAATCAATTCCAACAGTCGAAATGAAGTTGTTGTTAAGAAAGGCCCCATCCTTATAACGAACCAAGAGACAAGTTTTTCCAGTGCAACTATCGCCAAGGAGCATCACCTGAAATTTTTCTAATAGAATATTTATTGCTCCAAACAAAAATAGTGGGAGAATTCCACACAGCCTACGTGTTTTATTCCCACTATACCGTAGGTATTCAATAATTTTTCTTTCTAGGTTTCTGAGAAATTTCGAATGTTGCTCTTTGAGGTTTTACCGTAAATCCTTTGAAAATGCTCTGAGCAGGCTCTCAAGTGTTCAAACTTTAGACATTCCCAAAAGAAAACTAACAAAAAATGTCTAGTTAATTGTTTAAGCCGCATTTTCTTTGAGAGCAAGCTTAATCTCATTTCCTTTTATTTTGGGGAATCTTGCCCCTGGGCTCAATATTTCCCTTTCTCGATGGGTAATCTATGGTAATTATAGGATAAACGACATCTTGGAAGGGAGGAAACCAATTTACTTGTGTTTGCCTTGCCCATTGCGTTGTGTATAGCCGAATTTTTCATTAAAAACAGCAATAAGAAAAAAAAATTGCTCTCACCTTAACTGAAAGATCTGGCTGATCCAAATCAAGCATTACTGTATCGTTTCGAGACCTGGGAAAATTGGACGGCAAATATTAAGCCAAAAACTGGCGATGCCAAGAAAAAAAAATTGAGAGGGGCGGGGTCACGAAAATCGGCGGGTTAACGCCCTTCGTCTACTCCTTCTTCTTTCTTTTGCTTTTTTCGGGGGATAAAGCTTGACAAAAAAACGGGGGGAAGGCGTAGAAGAAAAAAAAGAAGAACAACAACAATGTGCGTTTCTAGTACAGCAATCTGAGGAAAAACTCTTGAATAATCTTGAGAGAGGTAAGCAACATTTTTTGTCTGCTCGCTGTCGGGAAACGCTTTGATTGAATTGGCAGAAGGAGGGACGAAGCATTTCGTTGAATTTTGAAAGCTAGAGGTGTGAATTGAATCAATTGGCGGCGCCCTTCAATTTCTTCATATATATATATTTTTTTTTTTGAAAAAATAATCAGGAACATATTGTATGCTGCGTCAATGCCTTGGAGCTATTCATTGGTTCTATGCTTGCAAAAAAAAACTTTTTTCTGACGAACAATGGTTTGGAAAAGCAATACTGAAATGAAAGAACTGACTCTTCATGTTCGATGCTAAAAACCACTCATTGAATAATGCATCATGTTCGCCGCTTTAATATTTCATTAAACTTACTAGAGGGTGAACTCATTTTTTTTGGTATTTTTTTCTACGAATATTCACTTTCTACAGAATTTTTAATTGTCTAGTGCTGTTCGATGGCGTATGAGCTCATCACAGGTAGTTTCAAACAAAAAAAAGAAGATTCAAAACTAAAAATTGAACAGATATCTGCCGACCGGTGGCTCTCCTTATGCGCCGAAAACTAAGAGGCGGGAATTCTTGGAGACGTGTAAAAATTGAAAGATTTTTTTTCTCGAGCTATGCGCCACTTATTTAATGAAAAAAAAAATCGAGCTCCGAAAATTGAGATACCAAATAGAATTTTTGGTCGAAATTTGAAAATGATACGGCATAGATCGGAAAATGAATAATGCATAGCAAAATACTCAATGGATAATTATTTGCTATGTTGGCTTATAATTTTCGTAGTTGAACGATCGATGGAGTATCGAATTTCATAGAACGTTTGGCGCTATGAAAATGAGGTATCAAGGAGCTGAAGGTATAATACGAAAGAATTAGTATTTATCATTGACAGATTGGGGAATTTCCGAGCAAAGCCTATCAATTTTCGAAATTTTCAAAATTGTGAGGGGTCCGCCATCAAAAGCTCTGCCTCGAATTCCATAAACTCGATTCATTTACAGTCAGATGAATGAAACATTTCGAAAGCGAACTCAATTTAATGCACTTCATGGAAGCCTACGAGATTACTATGTCTTGACGGCATGTGGGCATTAAACGTCTAGAGACAACACGAAATGTTCTTTATTTTCCGAAACATTTATTTCGTCGTCTTCTATTTGTGCGAATCATTATCCTGTCAGCCTCATTCTTTATTGTTTCAGCAGTTGAAAGATGTGTAAAACAATTACCGATTGAAAAAGATTAAAGGCGCGCCGTCAAGGTTAAGGGATCGCAAATAAAATATTCTGAGAATTGAGCGCGCTGATCTCTTGCATTTTTGGGCATTAGATTCCGAAATGAGATCTGTGTGACTTTGTCGTCGGCATGACGGTCCAATTGAATTGAAAAGCAAAGTTGAGTTATAAGGGGGGGGGGAGGATTCCGATGCGTTCCAGGGCACAACAATTAAATTGAATTCAAGGGTTCAAAAAGCGCGTCTGAGGTTTTTTTTCTGCAGAGACCCGATTCGAATTGATTACGAGATTTTTTTAATAGGAACGTGGTGCAAACAGCAGATGGGTGATAGATTTTCGCACTAGACAACACTTTAAATTCTGTAGATCAATAATGATTCGAGTCGAAAAAAGTTGTATTTAAGAAAACCATATATTTAGCTTTTTCATATATGTTGGAAAATTGCAACCTCTCAATTATAAATTCACAATTTCCTTTCAAAACTACATACATATTTTCCCGAGTTGAAATGGTCCCGTGTGACATTAAAGGAAGTCATTATTTCTAAGAATAATCCAATAGCAAAACATTTCCCATGGACACTAAAAATCACAAAAGATTTTTTGTCGATTCACTACTTATAAGTGCGTGCGAATTTATTGAATAGTTGGCGAGTGCGTCTTAACAATATAAAAGGTTTGAAACGTTGACTGCATATTATATATAAATGGGTATTCTACGAAAAATTGAGATATGAATGTGTCAGAGGTAACACCTATGTAACTATATGGTTTAAAAAATCAAATTATATGCTTCAGTAAATTCAGAAATCTTATCAATCGCGAAGCATTCTGAGATAGAGACATCAGAAATCAACCACCAAGAGATTAATATATTTCAACGCAAGTGTGTGAAACTGGAAACATGGAAAAACAAATACAAACAAATACATCATAAAATGGAAAACTGAGAATCGTGAAATTCCTGGTGAAGCGGCGCCCAATTAGCAATTTTCAACTAAAAATTTCGCCTAATGAGCACATCGCAAAAAATAGGAAAGAATTGAAAAAAAATTTTGCGGCTCATTTTATGGGTTTCAGATTGAACCGAATCTTATATTCATTCGTGTGCGATCAAATAATTATGGCTCTTAGCGCGTTACCTTCAGATTAGTGCATTGAAAGTTCATTGGGTCTGACAAGAGAGATGACTCATAGGTTGCCACAAGTTATTCATGGGTGTAGGAAACCAAATACGACGTAATTGTAAGGGTATTCGCTAAAATTCTTAGTGGGCGGATTGTTGAAAAATGGCAGGAAAGCAGGAAAAAATATATGTTTAAATATTTTCAATAAGTTCGGTTTTCGAAATTTAGGATTTCAAAATTTAGGATTTTTTTAACGTTTTTCTGGTATTAGGCAATGTGAAATGAAACGCAAAAATTAAGGAAAAAATATTCAAAACAATTTTGAAGACTTATTTTGATAAGCAGAAGACCCTGATTCTAAAAAAATAGCTGAATATTTTGACAAAACCGATAGATCAAATAGAGCATATACCTTTATTATTGAGCATTAATGATGGTCTAATGAGCACCGCATGAGTTTTTTTTCTAAGATTTTGACAATGAATGCTAAAAATATGAAATTGTTGAAGAGAAAAAGGATGAGAAAAGTTGAAAAGGAATTTCAACGCCGCTGTAATTAGATTTTTATTCTGTTTTGATTCAATCTTTTCCTTTATACACAAAAATCTCAAATTTCAGTGAGCAATTTGAAATGAAAAATTTTGAGTTTCAAATGGGTTTCGAATCTTTAAGCTTTAAGTTTAATCTTTCGATAGTAAAAAAATAATCAAAAACTTTTTATGAATTTTGGGAAATTTTAAAAATGAACACCTTCTCTCAAAAAAGTAGGCCAGAAAAATTGCAAACTTCTCTTCTTTCTTTCTAATCAAGATTTAAAGAAAAAAGAAAAATCGGGGTCGACAAAAATCAAACAAAATTCATAGCTCCTACTTATTATTTCCTTATCATTTTTTTGCCAAATATGATTTTATCAATTTATTTTTTCGATATATTTTGATGGTATCAAGTATAAAAAGTAAACATGAGTGTCGTGTTGGAACGTTGAATAATTTATCGCCACAAGGTTCGATAACTTTGAGCTTGTTTAAGAAGATGTAAAAAAAAATGTAATTCCGTCTAATTTAATATTCGGTTAGACCAATTTTTGGAAAAAAAAATGGCAAAATCAGGGAAAAAAAATGGCAAAATCAAAAAATGGCAAAATCTAAATTTGTGAGGTCTTCTTAATTGTTTGAAATGCACTTTTGGCAATTTATATTATTTGTTGGTCAATTTTGCTTAAGTGACGATCAAACTATACGCATAGTTAGCCTCTTGGAACCATTTATTTGCACATTCGCATAAAGTATTTTGATGAATGCCCATCGATTCTTCACATTCTTAATGAAAAAAGGAAATCTCGAAATCGGCGTACCGTGAACGAGCAATCAACGTCCTGGTAGATTGATGACCTTTTCCGGATCGCCTTCATTTTCTCTTGACTTGTTTTCCGTCAAATATTAATCTTCCTGAAAAAATATGTTTTTTAGAAAAAGAGAGTGGAAATAAGTGGGTGAAATGTTAGGTTGCGAATAAGTATTTCTGCTACATAAAAAAAAAACAAAAATTTTCTCAAGTGTGGCCCACCAAACTTGGTAATTGCCGTAATTAAGAAGAAGGGCGCAAAAAAGGTGGTCATGAGATTGTCATAGCTACCAAAGCTTTACCATAAATTATTTATGCGGTCGCACCATATAAATTCTTGAAATTCGCAGGTTTAAAGAAGGGATCAATCAGTTTTAATGAGTCTGTTGAGAAGCATAATAGATACCGTTGATGATATTATTCATTCAAATTTCAGAAAATACAATCAAGTAAATTTTTTAAGACAATAGTGCTTTTAAAAATATAATATAAAAATTATTACTATAAATAAAAAAAATAAAAAGATTTGAATATGAACCCTTTTTGGCACATTTATTGCCTAATTTCTGTCACAAAAACAGAAAACATCAAATTTTGTTTATTTTTTGCGAAATTTGATAAACAAAAAGAAGAAACTTGAGATTTTGCTATTAATTGGAATTTTTTATTTCGTCTCAAACACAAAAAATGAACGAGTTGAAGAGACTTTTATTCAATATTTTTATTTGTTATGCAAATTTTATATGAGCTTTTCAAACTGTTTATGACTAATAAAATGACATTGTAAGAATTTCGGCATTCGAAGTTTTTAGATATGATTGAAATGAAGAGATTTCAGAATTTTTTATTAATTACTTAAAAAATGTTTTTGGAGAAAAATTCTGTCACGGAATTCTTGGAGCAGAATATATTAAAATGCTCGATGTGCAAATGAACAGAACCATCGAATATGGAACTCGGCAAAATGTTGGAAAAAATACTGGAAAAACTGACTGAAAGCGGTATTTTTTATCTTTA